TTTTTTTTAACGGCGTCCTTTTTAAAATTGATTTTCTTTCTTTTGGAAAATCGGGATTTTTTGAACACGCTGCGGGACACGGGACAAATTATTAAAAGTTGTGACTGTCCCGCCAAAAGCGGGACATCTGGTCACCTTATCTTTAGAATTTGAATTTTCTTTTTACTGATCTGATAATCTGACAAAACCATATTGCTGTACATAGTCCATTTTAGTCATTTTGCTGGGTAACTTTGGGTACAATTTCATCAATGTTTAATTCCAATTTATGTTCAGAATACAATACAATCTTGGTATTTTAACTTCTCAAATTTTATTTTCTTGACATATTTTCAGTGCCAGTGACTCCAGTGTCAGTAAAACTATGGAAGACAGCAGAAAATACTAATATTCAGTGATGAGGCTAAAAAGTTGTGTGTTAACTTCTAAAGTTACACAGAATGGGAACCAAATGTGAACCCAGAATACCTACATTTGATTGCCGATTGTGATACATGAAAAGACTCTCTTTAATTGTTTTTCAGTATTGGTGGCAAAGTCTACCATAACCCAAAGAGAATGTGACTTCCTTCACTCATGGAGGAAAAGATCTGAAAAATCGTGTGTCTTCTGGGTACCTTCTCAAGAATCATAGGATTGAAATCTGAATCCTTGAGGAAATAGTGAAGAGAAAGAAATGCCCTGTAAACAGATCATTTTTAAAGACTGATATCTAGGAAAACAAGTGAGTAAAAATTATCTCATATTGTTTATATCAGTCCTTCCCATATTATTATTTTCCAGAAGTAGTACATACAACTCCCATTATATCCAGCTACCTTGATTCTGTGTATATATAAATTTGAAAATCTTGAAATGCAAATCTGTGAATATCCAATATGTCTAACCGAGAGTAGTATCCAAAAGGAGCTCCCTCCTGATTGTACTTTTCTGTGGTTAATATAAGTGAGAAACAGTTGACTGTAGTGGTTTGTAGAAAGTTATCACCCAGCCCTCCCCCAGAAAAATGAAATATACTAGGAAATATTGAAAAGGCAGAATATATTTTCCTGGATGTAAAAAGGGAGAAACATGTTTTAAAGGCAAAGTAGATCCCTGCAGCTTCCTGCCCCCACCCCCTTTGTCAATGGGCAATTAAGATGCCCAAGCCAGTCCCTTCAGCTCCAGGGTGATGGGATTAAGGCATGATTAGCCTTTACCCATTCCCCAAATGGCATCTGAGAACTCAACCAAACCTGGATTCAAAACACAGCCTACAGAGTTGCCCCTGCATGGCCCCTTGGGAATCTG